CTGCAGTCCCTAGATATGAGCAATGCTTCAATTGGCAGGCTACATATACTGTATTCCAAAGCCCCTGCATGTCAGCCAAACTCCCTTCCAAGCAGTGCTCTTGAACCTGATTCAAAAGGGCTATATATAGACCAGCTTACTCCCATGTGGCCCAATGTGGTCCACTAAGAACCACTCCTGCATTCTTGCCCACTATTGCTGGAAGAGCAGTTTGTTCTCAGTACCCCTCTGTCCTCCTCTTTTGCTCTGCCACCTTGGGCTGTTCTAGCCAAGCCTTCATGCTCCCAAACTTCAGGAAGCATGGGCCAAGTTATGTGAATGGTTGTCTTGAAGCCCCTGTCAAGCTTGGCTGAAGTTGAAGAAAGGAATGAAAACCCATCATTCCTTTCCTCTCAGAAGGTGTGATAGGAAGACCCCAAAACATTGCAATCCAAACTCTAAGAAATCCTCTCTCTCTCTCTCTCTCTCTCTCTCTCTCTCCCTCTCCCTCTCTCTCCTTCTCTCCCTCTCTCCCTCTCTCTTTCAATCTTTAACTTTTATAAGTTTACACATTCAGGCAGGTGAAGAATAGAGGTTTAAGTAATCCATTTTTATAGGGGTGGCCTAGCATCCCTTGTTAGAATATCAGGACCTTTGGAAAACACTGTTGTATTTTTGGTCTTTGTAACCTCAGCCCAAACTAAAACTTAAAAATCTTGCTAACCCATTAACACTAATTCTTTCCACATCAAGTGGAATATAATAGTATATATTACCTCAGAAGTATTCAACCCAGGTAATATGATTGATATCATGTTGCTATCACTGCCTGCCTCCCCTTTCCCCCAATAGTTTTTAATGCCTTAGTAAATGAGTGAAAATTTACACAAGTAATAGGAGAACACTAATCACCTCATTGCAAAAGAACAAAAAAAAATTCTCTTTTTCTCTAGCTTGACAAGCCATTCAAGAACTCTCTCCACTGTGTGAGTAAGAAGAAAATGTTGTACTAGTATATACAAACATAAAGCATAATTAAATTTTGCTTAACAGGAACATTTTACACAAACCACTTTGCTAAATTGAATTTTCAGGTTAAGCAGCAGCCCCTTTCTGTTTCAGTATTTGTTAATAAATATCTTCCTTAAATTTCTTAGCTACTTTAAATTCCTTTTGAAATCAGGCAGTATATATGTGACATCAAATTAAATATGTCATTTTTCTGCCTCAGTAGGCATTATAGGAAACTTAATTTGATATTTGAGAATTATAGGAAATGTCAGGTAGCCCTCAGATCTCTGGACTTCCTCTGGCTTTCTCACATGTTTCTGGGCCTGAGGAGACACATATCTCACAGAAAAGTAAAATAGTCTACATAGGAAAGTAGCACACCTGAGTAGACAGGACTTGGGTCAAGTACTGAGTCTCCATCAAGGGGCTGCTTTGTGCATTAGAGTGCAGAGAACCCAATTTGGAACAGGGATCTGGATCTAACCATCTTGGAGGACACTTGGAAAGGGAGACTGGCAGAATAATAGACACTATAATAATTTGTTTATGCTACTGGATTCTCCTCTTGCCCTATTTCATGCACTATCTAGGCTTTTTAATTCTCTGGTGAGGTAGTTAGGCATAAGAGGCTGAGATCAACAATTTCTCTATGACACCCACAGAATAGATTTTGTGGTAAGATTACAGAGGAGGAGAGTGATTTTGAGAGGTTGACAGATATATAGCAAGAAGTTCTGTAAATTGTGAAGGAGAGGCCCTGGGTCTCTAATTGCTCAGAGGAGGTGAGAGTCTAGGGAGAAGGGATTCTAGAAGGCCTGGGTGTCTAACTTGGACAAAGATGCCTGAATTGGTTCCCTGACAAAAGAACTTTTGAACAGAATGAGACCATAAATAGTGACAATGACTATACTCCACTGGGCATGATGGTGAATGTATGTGATCCCAGCGGCTCTGGAGGCTGAGGCAGGAGGATCTAGAATTCAAAACCAGCCTTAGCAAAATCAAGGCACTAAGCAATTCAGTGAGACCCTGTTTCTAAATAAAATAGGGCTGGGGATGTGGCTTAGTGGTCAAGTGCCCCTGATTTCAATCCCCGGTACCAAAAAAAAAAAAAAAATGATTATACTAAACAAAAATCAGTAGTCTCATAACTGTAAGGGTTTTCATATGCCTTGGTTTCACCTAAGACCCCAAAACCTTTATATAACTTAGAGTATTTAGTGTGTGTAATCAGGAAAAGAGGCACCAAAGTGACTAAGTAGAGTAGGATAGAATTAAGCAGAGTGAGAACTAAGATGTTTAGTGCATACTGTGTACATGGGCTAAGATTACTTCAATCAATGTCTCTAAATTCAGTGGGCTCAAGTTGCATGGTCTTAGGGTCCATGGTTGCTTTTATTCACATAGAACATTCTAGCCCAGTGCTTGGAACATGGAAAGTGCATAGTCAAGTAGAAATACACAAAGTCTCCCTTAAAAGTCTGCCATTGTATGGTATTGAATAAGAGACCTATTCATTTTCTTGGTTTAATTTTCTTATCTCTAAATGTTGAAAAGTATTTTTATCTCAGAAGGCTGTAGTAGGGATTAAATGAAAAAAACAAATGGTTATTAGTCAGACCAGGCAAATTTCCTTCCTTCCTCTGCACTTTCTTTGCCACCTTGAAATGTTTGCCTTGTCGATGGCCCCTTTGAAGGCTTCACAGTTGTAATAAAATCTCACATAGTTCTGAGATCTGAACTTGTCTTTTTCTAGGTTTCTCCAGAAGCCATAATTACTGCAGGCAAGGTTCTGAGGTGAGTGCCAATGTCAACTATGGCCAACTACATCAAAACTGGCTGTCGAGATGTTTCTTCATCAGTATGTGAATAGCCGTCCAGCACGGCCACCATATACTAGATGGTGACCAAGTAAGCCAGTTAGATCCTCTGTGCTGGGGATTTTGTTTCTTTTAATTTTTTTGTTGTGGGTATCAAACCCTGGGCTTCCTGCATGCTAAGCAAGTGATACAGCACTGAACCACACCCCCACACCTGTCTTGGGGTTTTAAATACAAAGTAATAGAGAGTCAAACATCAGTAATGGGGGGCAGAAATTCATCCATTCACTCATTCAACAAACACTTATGGAACTTTGTACATTTATGAAGTCTTTTCCAAATACCCTTCTAGATGATAAGAAATAGCTAGTGAACCAAACCAGTCAAATAATAAAAAGAAATAGCCAATGGGAAAAAAAAAATCAAGTCAATTTCCTACCCTCCTAATGCTCATGATCTGGTGGAAGAGGCAAACAATAATCACATATTATATTGAACTGACTCGAAAACATGCATTTCTTCATATTTTCTGATCTCTGAAAAAGGGAATGCAACTAGTTATCACTGGCATCTTATAAGTATATTTGTTCTGACATCAGTCATTTTCCTGTGGGAACTTATCAGAGCTGCTTATAACTGTAAACAAATTATATGCATGTTGGTACCACATGCGTGAGGTTCAAATAATATTTCAAACATCTTCAAAAGATGGTATTTTATATGGCTGAAAAAGGAAAGTTATTATGTACACCAGCCAGGCTCAGAAATTGAACAATCAGACATAAATTTGATATTAGGAAAGCAAGCATCATTATTTGAAGAATACCATAATTCCATATTTCTTGCTTCACAGGTCCTAAGAAAGGAGGGTACCCCAAAGTATATGAAGTCGTGTTGCATTTTATTATTTAGATATTATGTGGGAAAACACTGACATTGACAACTACAAGTTGAAGAATGAATCAGAAGATAAAACTCTAAATATAAAAGTATAAATTGATTTGTTTTCCTTTTTGTGTGTGAAGGATATATGAGTTTTTAAACACCAAGTCTAAGTATAAAAGAGCTCTTTCAATGAGTATAAAATAAAAGTTGTAAGTGATAAGAAAGACAATGTCAACTTTGTCTTTCTCCATGACTATATAAAATAATAGCACATATTTCAACTCATAACATCTCAGAGTCGTTGAAATTCGGTAGCTATATAATGTCAGTGCTAAATGCCATAAATAAAAATAAAACAGATTTTATTTTTTAACTTAACAGAATTAAGTCCTGTTCATAAATTGCCCAGTCTAAGGTATTTTGCTCCAGCAGCATGAGGGATCCCAGTCCTCAGGAATGCCTCCATTTCTTCCCTCTTTGGGAAGGACACTTTAGCCTTTGTAGGATTTTTGGCTTCCACGTTTTTATCACTTTGAATCTATCAAGTCTTTTGCATTCCAGGGCTTCTAAGAGGAGGTCTTATGAGGACCATCTGAGGAAATGATGAGGACGCCTTCCTCCCTCCCAACCCCATAGGTGTGAAGACTGAGCGCTAGAGTGTCTCAGGGGACAGAGCATTCAGTTGTGGTATCACAAGGTGGATGAGGGGCTACCGCACTTTTGACGGTAATTCCGAGAAAGGAACTGAATGCCTTGAGTGCAGGTAGGACAAGGTCTTCCAAAGCCCAAAGTCAGTAGAAATTTGGAGACTTGAAATGACAAGTCCATTGAGCTAGCGTACAAATGTTGATTTCTAAACAAGCAAACATCAGTCTCCACACCCCACTGGAGCAAAAAAAAAACATCTGGAGTCCTTTTCTATTCTTATTCTGAAAATGGAAAAAGTTCTGGAGGCCCCAGAGGGAGAGGACCACTGGGGCTATGGCCAGCCATGACTGGGCCATTTCTAGCTCTGACCTCACAAGGAGCCACTGTGAGGAATCTCAAACAGCCGGTATATAAGGGGGTGGCTGAGGCTGGGTTTTGTCCACAAGTACAGGAAGCTCTTGGTGGTGACCTGTCGGACACCAGATACTTAGTGCGCTTGGTGGTTGGCGGTCGGTGGTTGTGGACTGTGGATATTGCTTTTTTGATTTGGGTTTTTTGTTTTGTCTGGTTTTGGTTTTTGATTTTGATTTATTGTTTTGGTTTGTTATTTTATTTTCCAGTTAGCATCTTTAGTGGGTGTTCCTGCTCAGGGTGTCCATGGTTAGCAACAGTAGTCAGTCTAGAGTAGCGTTGTGGGGGCCGGGCTCCTGCCAGGAGCCAGGCTTCCTGGACCAGTACGAGGTCCTGAGGGCCATTGGGCATGGCGAGTTTGGTCAGGTCTACCTGGCCCGCCATCGCCTCACAGGGGCAGATGTCGCAGTGAAAGTCCTGAAGACGGAGACGCAGGACATCTCGGACCTCTCCGAACCTCTAATGTTGAGGAGCCTGGAGCACCCCAACATTGTACAACTCTTTCAGGTGATGAGGACCAGGAAAAACCTGTACATGGTGATGGAGTACACAGGTGGGGGACAGCTACTTGAGCATATCCCCCCTGGTGGCATGCAGCAGGAGGAGGCCTGCAGAATCTTCAGGCAGATCGTGTGTGCCCTGGGCCACTGCCACGACAAGGGCATCGTGCACAGGGACTTGAAGCTAGAGAACATCATGCTGGATGCCAGAGGACATGCAAAACTTATTGACTTCGGCTTCAGCACCAGGTTCACAGCCGGGCAGAAGCTTAATGACTTATGGGGTACTCTGGCTTACATCGCCCCAGAAATTGTCCTGAAGCAAGAGTATGAGGGCCCCCCAGCGGACATCTGGAGCCTGGGCGTCATCCTGTACTGTATGTTGACGGGGAGCTATCCATTCAGGGGGGACACCCCTCAGGAGTTGCTGATGAGGATCATTCTGGCCAGGTTCCAGGTGCCCAGCTCTGTTCCGGTCAAAGCACGAAGGCTCATCCACCAGATCCTGGTCCTGAACCCCAAGAAGCGACCCACAGTGAAGCAGATCCTGCAGCACCCCTGGCTGCGGCAGGGTGAGCCATGTGCAACCCATCCTTCCAGCCAGGCCCTGCCCACACGCCCAGACCCTGCCATCCTGACCATGCTGTTCGACCTGGGTTTTGATCCCTACCAAACCTGGGTGTCTCTGGCCAAGAGGAAGTTCAATGTGGTCATGGCGACGTACCTCATCCTGAAGCACCAGCAAGGCCAGGGGGTAGGGAGCACCTTCCAGGGGCAGCCTGTGCCTCAGTGGCTTAGGCCTCGCCAGCGCCCCGAGAATCTCTCCAATGTCCCTGTCCTCCCACAGAGGAGCGCCAGCCAGCCTGCCCTGCGCACCTTCCCCTTGCCCTCTGAGTATCTGCTGCCCGAGGACGCCCAACAGCCAGGGCACAGGGACATCAGGGGTGGCAGCCTGCCTGCCATTCCTCTGCGCTGCCCGCCTGCAGGGGCCCCCACTCTCCGCAGCTGCTCCCAGTCTGACTCTGGCTTCCCCAGGCCCAAGCCCTCCAGGGTCCTCGTCTGGTGGTCCAGGGCACACAGCAGCTCCTCCTCCCTGGACACAGCCCCGAGGCAAGGCCCTGGCCACACCAATGGCTGGAAACAGGTGAGGAGCAGGATCGCTGCCTGTGTCCGAGCCCTGTGCTGCTGCTGTGTGCCATGTGTCAGCAATAAAATGGCTCAAATGTCACAGAGAAGCGACGTGCCACACCCATAGACGGCCTGCCTCCAAGGAAGTGGAGAGCCAGACAGACAGACAGTGCCAGTGGACGGCCGTCTCTCCTCTGCCCCCACCTGCGGAAGACCTCAGAGGCTGTTCTGCCTGGGACACTTCGCCCTGCTGGGACACTTCGCCCTGCCCCTCTCTCCTCTCCCACAATTCTTTTCAGATGTTTCTTAATAAATTGGTTTCAAATTGGATCCTAACCTTTTGTTCCAAAGATTAAATTGTAGGCTGATTAGAAGTAAGGTGGGGCCTCAGGCTGAGGGCAGGGCCCACAGGGTCCAACCCGCCATCCTCTCCCAGGCCTGACCTCTGTGCCTCCCTCTACAGTGCAGGTAGAGACTCACTGGCCTTGAGCCATCATGGAGCATTGGGTTGCTTTGAGCTGGTTCAGACAGATTTGTTCTACACTGGCTCTCCCCTTGAGCCAGTGTAGACATGACTTTTACTTGGTGACCTTGGCCAGGAGGAGTCCCTACCTGAGCATTGTCCACAGGGTGGGTGGCAACTGTTGAACAAATCACCTCTGAGAAGACCTGGGCGACCCCAGTGTTCTGTGGCATCGTCTTCATGATAGTGTGTGCAGGGAAGGGAGATGGGAGAGCGGGCAGGGCGGGCCTGCCTGAGGGGTCCTGGGCAGGGGTGAAGGGACTCAGCACAGGGACAAAGGAGGACGGTGTTAAAGCATTGCCAGTGCCGGGAAGAAGAGATGCAAGGGACGGTGCACCCAGGCACATGTGTGCCCACCTGGCATGGCGGGGTCCTCTGTCACTGCCCCATTGGGAAGCATTCTTGATGACTCCAGTGGTCCATGGCATGCCTGGTCACTTCCTTAGTGACTCAAGTGCCTTGGAAAATAAGGGCTGGGATCACATATCTTCTCACAATGGCCTGACGTTTGGGGAGGAATCCGCCTCATCTGTGTGATGGGCCAACTCCTAGCCCCTCACAGTCCTTGTTTTGAAGTCCTAACCCAGGAGCTCAAAGTGTGCCCAGATGGAGAGACCGGGTCTACACAGGGATTATTAAGTTCAGTGAGGCATCTGGATGGCCCTAATCAGAGGTGAGCCATGTCTTTTGTCTGGCAGAGGAAATCCGGGCACAGACTCCCAGAATTACCACTATGAGGATCAGGCAGGGAGTCCATCTGCAAGCTCAGAGAGAGGCCTCAGTGGCCACCTGCCCTGACTACACTGGCTGACAGATGCCGGCCCCAAAAAATGTGAGTAAATGCTGAGCTCCCCTGGTTTTATGGTGGGTGTTGCATTCAGTCTACAGGCCTGGAGAAGTTAAGTCCTGCTAATAAATTACCCAGAGTGAAGTTTTTTGCTATAGCAGCATGAAGGCTCCCAATTATTTGGAATGACTCCCCCTTTGGATAGGCCACTTTTGCCTGGGCTTCCACGTTTTGTCCTTTATCACTTTGAATCTACCAACCCACTGTTTTTTGCATTCTACGGAGAAATCTATGAGGACCCTAGTGGAAATGATGATGCCTTCTTCACTCTCAACCCATAGTTTTGAAAACTGTGCTGTACATTTTCTTAGTGAATAGCATTCCGTTGTACCATCATAAGTTTGGTGAGGTGTTACCATACTTTTGATAACTCTTTGAAAAAAAAAGGAATTGAATGCCTTGAGTGCAGGTAGGTAGGGTCTTCCAAAGCCCAAATAAGTAGAAATTTTGAGATTTGAAATGACAAGTCCTTTGAACTAGTGCACAAATAACAATTTCTTTTTTTTAATATTTATTTTTAGTTTTAGGTGGACACAATATCTTTATTTTTACATGGTGCTGAGAATCAAACCCAGTGCCTCATGCATGCTAGGCAAGTGCGCTACCACTTAGAAATGGTAATTTCTAAACAAGTGAATATCAGTCTCCACACCCCCTGAAGCACATAACTTCTTGAGTCCTTTTCTATTCTTATTCTGAAAATGGAAAATGTTGTGGAGGCCCCAGAACATTCAGAAAGATTTTGGTGGTGACCCCTCAGACTCCTAGTTTCATTAGAACATTTGGTGGTTGGCTGTTGGTGTCTGTGCTCTCTGGACATTGTTTTTTTTTGTTTTTTTTTTTATTTCTGAGGACTAAGAATGGAGGCTTCAGTGGGGTTTAGGTTAACATTAAACTGTAATGGAGATGACATGAGGTGAAATAAAATTGGAAGCTAAAAGAAAATTCAAGCAAATGGCTTTCTGGTTGATCACAGATCAGAGAAAGAAGATGGAAATGGAATTTGGGGAAATTGGATGGCCCTGTAGCAATGGCCCACAGGGACTTTTCACCCCTACAGCTTGGACCTGGGTTTAGTGGCAGTTCTTGTGGTAGGCCATATTTAATTGTCTACCCAATTTGTTTTCGGGGAGTCACACACAAACCTAGTTTCTTTGCATCTGCATATAGGCTGCTCTGAAATTCTGCTGGAAGATTTCAAATAGTGTTCTGGCAGCGGTGCTGGGATGAAGTGTCGTTTGTCACTTGAGTACTCCTCAATTAATCTTAGACATGTTCAAATGTTGCTGTTGTTGTTTTAAAGTTTTCCTGCATGTCTATTCTAAATCTTTAGCTTTTTATGTTGCTTTTTTTTTTTCATTTTTCAGAATGATATAATGGTTCCTTCTCATTTTATTATTATTTGAACATATTGTGACTTTTTTTCCTCCGTCTCCTTCCAAAGTCCATTTTTCTTTGCATTCTGTCTTCTCCTACTTGCTCTAAGACCTTATTTCATGAGTTTATTGGTTCTGATATTTTAATTTCTCATCTAATTCTTAAAATTGAGAAATTTCTCTGTCTCTTTCTTCTTCACCTTTTTTCCCTCCCTCTTTCTTCCCCTCCGCCTACACACACACACACACACACACACTTGTGAGCTTTCTCTCTCTCAGGAGATCCACCTTCTTTTCTTTTTATTGGTTGTTCAAAACATTACAAAGCTCTTGACATATCATATTTCATACATTAGATTCAAGTGGGTTATGAACTCCCATTTTTACCCCAAATACAGATTGCAGAATCACATCGGTTACACATCCACATTTTTACATAATGCCATACTAGTGTCTGTCGTATTCTGCTACCTTTCCTATCCCCTACTATCCCCCCTCCCCTCCCCTCCCATCTTCTCTCTCTACCCCATCTACTGTAATTCATTTCTCTCCTTGTTTTTTTTTTCATTCCCCTCACAACCTCTTATATGTAATTTTGTATAACAATGAGGGTCTCCTTCCATTTCCACGCAATTTCCCTTTTCTCTCCCTTTCCCTCCCACCTCATGTCTCTGTTTAATGTTCTTTTCAGTGACAGCACACTGACATTTTGCTTGGCCCTGAGTCCACTGAAAACTATTCTTTGCCTTCGGCACAAATGATGAATTTTGTTTTGTTGTTTGTTACTTGTTTATTTTTAACTAAAGAAAATCCATAGTTTTTCATTTGATTTTTGGGGTTTTGACTATTTCAATCATTGCTTTCTTCCAGCGTTTAACCTCCTCACTGTTAACCCGGCACTGCATCTTCAGTCTCCCACCCTCTCACTGGGGTTTCCTTGTGTTTTGACCAATGTTTCTTTTTTTCCTCTACATCCACTATTTGTTGAAGCATTAACTTCCTCGTGTTCTTTCTCCGGCTGATTACCTTCTCAACTCTCCACACTCTGTTGGTTGCACGGCCACCCCTCTGTGTATGGCAGCTCCGTCTTCGTCTTCCTCCTTTTACCTTCCTTTTCCGGGACATGTAGGGCACATGAAAACCCAACAGATGCTTTTCTCCAACACTGAGAATTTTATTCAGATTCAAAGTTTGTTTCCAATTCTGTTTTTCTGATTTGCTAAAAACATTGGGAATTCCAAGTGTTTTCATTTTGTCTCCCTCAATTCATTTTCCTTTTACTGTATTTGTGATTCTTGGGGCTTCGTCGTCAGCTTCTTTTCTTCTTGTCTGTGAGCTCCTGAGCCTTGGGCATCCCTGGGTTCAGTTCCTAACACTTTACTTCTCTCTGTTTATCCTCATAATCTTCATAATTCTGCACATGGATGCAGCTTTTAAATTAATTTCAAACACTAGGCTGCTTTAAACCGTTTCTGTATATTCAAGGTTTCAAATTTATTCCTCCATTTTAACTTCTACTCTTAATTCACACTCATGTATCCACCAAATAAACGTCATTCCTGGGTACGCACTGGGCGTTGGAAGCCCAGCCTGCACTTCTCTTTTCCCACACCTGACCCTTTCTCATCTCCAGTATTTTACTTACATGGTCCAGAATTCTTAACTCTTGATTTTCTCTCACACTTTGCCTCCCAACTATCAGGTTACCCTGTTGGTTCCACCTTCAAATACATTCAAAATTTTACTAATTTTCCTCAGCTTCCCCCCACCCCCGATAGTCCAAGAGCTATCATAGGACCTGTGTCCTTCCTCTATGGTACACCTGACTAGCTCCACTTCTACACCTACACTTTGCTAAGACTATATCAGCCATTTTAAATTAAATAAAATATCTCTTGCATATTCTTGCCTAAGGACATTTGCACAAACTTTTAACTAGAAAAATCTTCTTTGGAGAAAGGCTATGAAGTTGATTTTGTCTGGGCTTTCAGCAGTGTATTATTTCTTTAAAAATCAAAATTTCATACTGATAACATACACATATATACTCCCCAATTTCTTTTTCCTATAGTATTCCTTTTTTTTTTCTTTTTTAGAGTCATTAGAACTCCCCTTCACAAGGCAACCCAAGATGAAACTGACTATATTGAGAAATATATTATACGCGTGCATAGGTCAGTTTTTAATGGCTATAATGAAATACCTGAGACTGGATGCCTTATAAAGAAAATGGGTTCATTTATCTCATAAGTTAGAGGTTGAAAGTCCAAACAGTATAGTGCTATCTCTAGCAAGGGTCTGCCCCCAAATTAATCACATCTGGAAAATGATATCAAAATGGCAGAATGTGTTAGAGTTAGGATTCATGTGGTGAGACAGGA